CTTAAGACATTGCTTGCGGTGACAGGCTATGCATGTTTGGACAAGTAACTTACCTGGGGATCAGCATGCCTGTCTCATGGTGCTACTTTGAGGAATAATCAGAACTTGTTTTAAATAATTCTAAACATGGAAATTATTATACAAGTGTTGAATAATATTCTATTAATCTTTTAGTTAAAAGTCAGTTTTAAGATTGTTTTCCATTGATGAGACAGCACTCTATAAATCAGATTTCCTTAATCAAATTGCTACTGTTTTGCCATAATTAATGTCCTTGGAGACAGTGTAGCTCAACAGATACAACTGACGATGAAGCTGATTCATTATATTTTCTTGCTAGAAGTAAATCTTTACTGAATGGAGGTCAATGTCAAACTACCCGTTGCCATCAATGGAGGCAGGACTGTGCCCTTTATTGCTGCCTCTGCAAAGGGTGCATTTGTGCATTAGTACACATGTGTTGTTTCCTTGTTCCTGGTTTTCTTCTTTTGCTCTGTTTTACCTTTGCAGTTTTCTGAGGACAGGACTAGAAGCCACTGGCATGTTTAAGCATAAATCACTGTGTGAGAAATACTTTCCATTGTCAAAATGCAGTGTGCTGAACAGCCCTTACCTTTAATAGGTATAAAAGATGTTGAGTGTCTTCTGGACTCCAGCTTCTAACTGCAGAGAGGGGTCTCACTACTAACTTAGAATAAATGCATAAATTGAAATCATAGTACTATCCGTGATGGTTTAGTCTAGTTATAGAAAAGTAAATGTGGATGAAAGGGTTCAACAATTCTTTTGAATATGAAAATTGTCATGTAGGATGAAGCCAATAATAAATCTGTTATGTTTCCTGTGAGCATTCAGGTAAGAACTTCAAGAAATGGTATAAAATTTTGAGATTATGGATAGCTTTGGCATAATTTCTTCTTTGAGAGAATGTTACTTTTTGCATTCCATATGAAGTTTGAAAGGTTGTACTGTAAGACTAGTATCAGATCTAAACCTGACCAGTAGTCAGCCAGACTGAAAAAACTTCAGACGTGTTTGTACAAGGATTTCTTGTGCAGCTTCTGTTGAAGACAATGCAAGTTCTACAGATGAAAGATGTGTAGGGTGGACCTCCCCCTTTTTTTTTTTTTTCTCCCCACTCCCAATCTCAAGAACACAAAGAAGTGATTCTAATCTTACAATTTTATACAAAATCAGATTGACCATTATTATGCTGTTGCTGACATAGACCTTGTCTCTTGCATGACTAAACTCCCAATAGGCAAACACTATCTGACTGTTGAAGGAATAAAGAAATAAGCACTGAGATAATGTCTAAAGCATTAAGAGTTGAGAGACATCAAGTCTTCTACAAAAGCTACGTAGCAATATTCTTAGAAATCTCTAATTCCACATTCAGTGCACTTGTTTGTTGAAGTTCTTCTTTTGATATTGAAGAAATTTTCCCCTATTAAACTGAAGGATTTTCAAACAAAGAGCTTTTCTCCAGAACCAAATTCAGATCAGGTGCCACTGCGGAAATTTTACTGACTTCCTTGAAACAGCCATATGGTCTTGGAAGATTATCTTACAGCTAAGAACATGGAAATTCAGATTGTGATAAAACAGCATAAATAATAATGACACATCAGTTTATCGTTGCAGGAATAATAAGTGTCATTTACTACTGTAAAATGTTTCTTAAGTGGTATTTCTCTACAATATCAATAGGAACTTAGAAAAACCTGTGACTTTTTTTGCAGGCATTTAAATTTCATCAAGTTCTAAACAACACATCTTTGCTTTAGACTTTATTCATGTAGATATAAACATACACTTTTTTTAAAGTTATTTTATCTCAAATAATAGTTGTGTACTCTTCAGTTTAGTAAAGTACTATAATTTCAGAAGTTAACTCTTTTTTCATCCTGCTCTAGAAGGATATTAAAATTTTATAAACCAGACAAAAGCAAATTAACAACACACAAAGGAGCTCAGCTAGCATCACCCTGAGCTCCCTTGGCTACCTTCTGTGAGATCTTAGGTATAATTGGAGTGTGTGTGATTTTGAGTCTCATCAGAGAAATAGAGTGGGACTGCAAGATCTGTAAAGCAATTTCTACTTGACAGCCCTGATCATCACCTGAAGAGTGCAGCGGGTATGCAGCTTAGCCACTCTTAACCATGTATTCGCATTTACAGGCTTTGTGATTTGATATTTTGCTAGCATTTTGTGGTAGTATGAGTCCATGAAAGAGCAACAATCTCTGTTAGCAAAACATGGTGGTGTTATAGGTGGATACCTCTGATTCATGATGCCAGAGCAAATAAGTGCTTTAGTGCAACCCCATTGTTAGTTGTCAGTGTAAATGTACATTTGTCTTGATGTTTCCGAGCAAATATTTCCAGCAGAAACCGAGAGGTCTGTATTTGACCATTAAAACTGAGAGCAAAATTGCAAAGGACTGCATGGCAGTCAGAAATCAAAGCATGCAGTGATATGTGCAATCAAGAAACACTTTGCAGAGATGTCCATGGCAACTAAAAGTCATAACTTCATGGGATAACAAAAATCTCAATAGAGATCTCAATAGAAATATTGGCTTTTTAGCAAATTGTAATTCCTCTCCCTTCTCCTCACTTAACCTGTTCATGCTCCGCCAGCTGTAAATAACTGATGTTGTTCTTTCCATTAGAAGATAAGCACCTTATCACCTCTTTTCTAACATCCTTATCAATCCACAAGCAGTAAGCATCTTTACTCTCAGGTGGTCTAATTGATACATATCTAATTAAAGGCAAAGCATTTTTTCTCAACTTGCATTCAGCTTTGAAGTACATTGCTTTGATTTCAGTCCTGAAGAACAGCTTCATGTGTCTGAAAGTTCTCCTTTTTCCAAGTGTATTAGTTGATCAAATAAAATATACCAGCTCTGTCCGCAAACTTTGCCTTGTCTGTGTACCAATTAATTTATTTTTCTAGTTAATTCTAGTTAATCTAAACAATTTTTCTAGTTAAAAGGAATGTGTGAGGACTGCAGCTCTTTAGAGACTTGAAGATCAGGACAAAATGTTTAAATATGATGAGATAGAGAAGAAAAGGGTAGAGACTAAGGCAGATAACTGGATTAACAAGAAAAACCATCTTAGGATTTATCTCTTAAATGGGGACATTCTGTGTGAAAGAGGTACCAGAGATGAGAAATCTGAATATATTGGCAGGAGATAGTGCCAGTGTCAAATTGTTTAAAGAGTATTAGTCTTCTTATCATTTTAGTGAATGCCTTAGGAACCTTGCTGTATAATGAGAGAGTAAATTCTCCAAAATTATATGGATAGGGGGAGAAAGAATGATCATTCTGACAAAACAAACAAACAGAAAGCCCATCAATTCTCACCAATTAAGAGGAGAAAGGAAAGGAAGAAACATGATGTGTGTAACGCTGAAATTGCCAGGCCCCTCTAAGTTGCATAGCAATGCAGAGATTTACTGATTTTTTAAATCAAATGTTACATGTTAATTTTCACAATTAATTTACCTGACCTGTATGACACTCACTAGTTCTATGACAACTGTATCTTTTTCATTTTTTTCCCCTAGTCTTCTTTTTGATTAGTTCAAGCAAGTTTTAAGAGTGGGTTACATTCTTCACTGTAAGGAGATGTTTGAAGAAAGGTAATGGGAAAAAAGTCCACTGAAATTACCTGATTAGATTAGAGGAAAAGAAAATAGATCCAAGGTACCTCACCCCCATTCTTAGGGCACCCTTTTGCCTCTTCCTTATCGTTTTGTTTATTAAGACTATCTTGTTGGCAGTTGTTAATAAGGTCTGTGATGGTTTGGGGTTTTTTTCACAGCTAATTGCTCTTTTGATTTGGGCTTTTGGGGCTTTTAAAAGTATGTGATAGGATCTCTGTTTATAATGTGTAATAATCACAAGAATCTCCTAGAGTTTTCTGAGGTCAGACTGTCACTATGCTTTTGTTTGCTTATGCTGAGCTGGTACTTGGCAGCTTGTGTAGTAGCTCAGCCATTCTCTAAATTAGCAGGTTGTTCTTTGTATTTGAAGTGAGTGATGTGATTGAATTGATTACCATGCATATGCCTAAAAAGAGAGAGGGATCCAAATGGAAAAAACTGTATAGATCCAAAGACAGTTTGCTGCAAGAACCATGGTGTGTTCAAGAACGTGGAAAGAACTTAAGTGAGAATAAAATCTCAAACCAGAAAATGTGTGGGAAAGTACAATTTTACTCTGAAATCTTTGCTAATGAAGGTTCAGGGATGTACGTTTTGTTAGATTTCTATGGAGGCAAAAGCCCTGGTGTAGATGCAGAAAACTGAGAAAAAAATCAATTGCTGTTACAACAACTTATTTTTCCATGATAGCAACATTGGGTCAACCCTCCTGGGTTCTGGCTTCTTGAGTAACTCAAGAGCCTACAGAAAAAGCGTCATTTAAGTGCTGGAATTCATTTTAATAATATTGCCAAATCACTCATCTAAAACTTCTTTTCCAAAGGATGTATAATCTACATGGGTTTTTTCTTAAGAGCTGACACTCATATGTCTGTGAATCAGCAATAGTTATTCCAAATCTTTTTGCAGGGCTTCATTGTTTGGCATCATATTGGCATTATGGGAGAATCCTGTGTCCCATAGAATTTTTAGAGTTCAGTTAAAATCCCCTTACATGTCAGTACATGGGCGCAGTAGATAACCTGTTTGTTTATTCTTAACTAATATACTTAGAAACACAGTCTAAAAATAAAGGACTGGCTTGATTCTTTATATCTGTGTACACATGGGTTTTGTTGCTTTTTCCACAAGTGACAACCTGGACTTAGTGAGATAATGGGAGGACCACAACTCACAGGTCCAAACGAACCTGCAAAATACTGGGGTTTGCCCTTGAACTTCCTTTTATTTGCACATACCGCTATATCATCGTATGACGTTGGCTTTTGAATACACGTGTATTACATAAAGCTAATACATTGTTCTTGATTTTGCTTTGCAGTACAGAATTGGGCAGCTGTACATGATAAGCAAGCACAGCCATGAGCAGAGCGACCGAGGTGAAGGTGTGGAAGTGGTGCAGAACGAACCCTATCAAGATCCAAACCATGGCAATGGTCAGCTAACAGAAAAACGGGTTTATCTCAACAGGCAAGTGCAATTAAATTTTTTCTCTCAGCATAGGCCATAATAAAAATTTGCGAGGAATATCCCTTCCAGGCAGTAGCCTTTTCGTTTCAAGTAGAACATGTTCCCATGAATACATGCTGCTTCCTGGGAGCTGCAGGAGGAAGGAAGGTGGGGTAGATCAGTGGCTTGAAACAGAGAGATTCTTTGTCATATTTCTTCTAGAGTACCTTTTCCAAGAGAAAGAATTATAACTTGAAGGTAAGGATATACTGAAAAGGAGAACTTAAATTTAACTGTTTGTCATACTGTTCTCCAAAATTATGGGGGGAAAACAAACAAACACACACAAACAAAAACCTAAAAAGCAAAAAACCCCAAGCACCTCACCCCTCCAAAAAATCAAAACCAAACCACTAACATGACTGAATGGTCTCTCACTTCATAGTAACGTTGCAATGCCAGCACGCCCTTTTTGGTGACAAAGATTTGCCTCAGCAAAGTTGCCATCACGAATGACCATTAGGCATGTACAACAATGACCTTCTTTAACAAAAAGACATGATGGGAAAAATTGCTTTTGTTTCCTAAAAGTTCCATAATTTCTTAAAGTGAAATATGTGTTTCTTCCTATGGTGAAATTATATTCCTGAGGGTCAATGCCTCCGCACTCAAAGGCTGGAGATATTTTAAAATATATATATATATTGTGTCCTATAAAATATATTGCTCAATCTGTTCTCATTTTTATTACTGTTGATCTAATTGAATAGCGCTGCTTTTCTGATGTTCTTCTGTTCCCCTGAGCCTGTTTCGTTTTATTAAACTTATGCTCTGTAGCATTTCGTAGTGGGCATAAAAACACTACAGCTATTGCTTCTACATTGTGAGTTACTCCTCCACTGCAGTCCTGACGTATCTAACCTTAACTCAGGCTAAATTGAATCACCAGTAATGTTGCGCGCACACACACACACAGTCCAATAACAAATATCTTGCCGACATGTAATATTATTGTGCATTTCGGTCACAACAACCCCAGGCAACTCTACAGGCTTGGGGAAGAGTGGCTGGAAAGCTGCCCAGCAGAAAGGGACCTGAGAGTGTTGGTGAACAGCTGGCTTAACATGAGCCAGCAGTGTGCCCAGGTGGCCAAGAAGGCCAACAGCATCCTGGCCTGTGTCAGGAATAGCAGGAGTAGGGAAGTCATCGTGCCTCTGTACTGGGCACTGGTGAGGCCTCACCTCGAGTGCTGTGTTCAGTTCTGGGCCCCTCACTACAGGAAGGACATTGAAGTGCTGGAGCGTGTCCAGAGGAGAGCCACCAAGCTGGGGAGGGGTCTGGAGAACAAGTTGTATGAGAAGAGGCTGAGGGAACTCAGCATGTTTAGTTTGGAGAAGAGGAGGCTGAGGGGAGACCTCATTGCCCTCTACAACTCCCTGAAAGAAGGTTGTAGAGAGGTGGGTGTTGGCCTCTTCTCCCAAGGGAATAATGACAGGAGCAGAGGAAATGGTCTGAAGTTGGGGCAGGGGAGGTTTAGATTAGATATTAGGAAGAATTACTTTACTGAGAGAGTGGTCAGGCCCTGGAACAGCCTGCCCAGGGAGGTGGTGGAGTCACCATTCCTGGAGGTATTTAAGAAACGTGTAGACATGGCTCTTCAGGGCATGCTCTAGTGCCCAAGATTATTGGTTTGTGAGTGGGTGTGATGTGGTGGGGTGTTGTATGTGCTGCTGAGTGGTTTTTTTTGTTTTGTTTTGGGTTTTTGGTGTGGTTGGACTCAATGATCTCAGACGTCCCTTCCAACCATGATGATTCTGTGATTCTGCGAAAATAGAAATATTTTCTTTCTCTGAGTGGACCCTCAGAACAATTCATGTGTGTCTATGTGACTTGCTTGCAACTCTGAGGATAATCTATGTTTTGCCCATAAAATTATTTGTTTTGGAGCTGTGCCATACCAGCAAAGATAGGTAGACACGCAAATACACTAAAACCGGCAATAACCCAGAAAAGGAAAAATGAGCAGCTGTATGTTAATAAAGACATGACTAATAAAATTTTCTAGTGTCAGTGTCAGCCTTAGTTATATTCAGAATTGTTTACTGCCTCTTCTCTCCTGCTGGAGTGTTGTTTTCAGAAACTGAAAGTCTGCATCCTGAGGTACTTATGATTTAGGCATCAGAGTAAAGTTTCACAGCAGTAAGGGAGAGAGCAAAGAGATCGTCCTAAAAAGACACTGACAGAGGCTGACAAAATAAACAAAAGTTCTGATACAGTGAAGTCTATTGTGCAGGATGTAAAATGCTGCTTAAAAGACTGTACAGAAGACAGGCTTATATAAAGAAAAGAATCTGGTTTTGAGCAATGTCGTCAAAGAACAAAAGTCAATGCACTTGACCTTGAATCTTTAGGTAATATACTAATGTCTGCATTTTGCTTCTGGACAAATACAATATTTATGTGTAGCTAGATCATGGTTAAATAACCTTTAACATTCCAAACTCCGTATTTCCTCAGAAATTTGCTAATATGGAAAGTTAATTTACTTTCTGCACACAGTTACCTAAACAGAACTGTTTCAAACATTTACATGGAGTCCCTGAAGCACAGTGAAATTTGTGGTCTCCAAAGGTCTGCCTGTCTTTGAGTGACAAGGACTGCATCTTTGTTCCTGGCAGCTTTAGTGGTTCTAATTGATGTCATTTAGAAAAGGTTGAAAGATGAACTCTCATGAACTTGCCTTTTTAAAATCTATGTTTGTTCATCACTTCTTTGGTACCCTGTGTGACCAGAGTTCTGGAAACGAGAGACCCAAATGCTTCCACTCTTCCATAGTATTATTTAATTACCCTTTAATGAACTTCCCATGTGCTGTATCCATGTCTTTTATTTCTTGTTCTAGTACTGTTGTACCACCATGCTGGGAAGTTCTCTTCACAGACTGAGCTCTGACCTATGACATCACTTCCATTAATTCTCTTCACTTCTGTGATTTACTTTTCCCATCAACAAAATGGGACTAATCCTACCTACCTGCCTCACAGAGTGATTTGTTAATTTGTGATTTGAATGATTTGTCAGGAGATAGTGTCGGGAGTGTGGGAAAAACTGTGTGCTGGGGGAGTTGAATGTAAGGGTTTATGTGCCAGCAGAGAATATGGAGGAAGAAGAAATAGTCTCTAAGAAGAAATAATGGAATTGGGATCGAAGCGGACTGGAATCCCATATTTACTCGTGACCTCTGGTTAGAGAGTGCCTCCCTGTGGTCAAGGATCCTGTGACACAGTTACACCTCGTATGGTCCAGCTTGCTGAGTTCATCCGTCACAAAGGTTTGAGGCCATATATTCTTGAAACCTGCAACCTGAATGTACATGTGATCAGAGCTTATTGCACTGACACCATATTGCTCACTTCGTGAGGAGAGCAGACAGACTCGATTTCATTTTTGTGTGTGGAGAAGGCTGAGGCAGAATGTATAGTCATGGGATGAAAATGCTGTTGTGAAGTTGAGGTATTGCTGTACCCTGTGAAATGCCTGTCAAATTATGAGCATGTTTGGATATATTTTCTTTTCTACAATACTCATAAGTCATAACATATTATAATTTTATGTTTTCTTTTTATTTTCAGCAAATTGCCTAGCTGGGCTAGAGCAGTTGTTCCCAAAATATTTTATGTTACAGAGAAGGCTTGGAATTATTATCCTTATACCATCACAGGTAAGGAATAAAGCAGAAATTATTACTGCTTTGTACTTTTGGGATAGTTTAGCTTCTCTTCAGAAGGTCCAAGTTACATATTAAGCCACAGATACCAAGTTTAACAACTCCTGTTGAACTGCATATATTTTTGCATCTTACATTGACTGATATCAGGAAATAAAGATTATAAACTATGGACAGGTAAGAACTGGAGTGTTGTACCTGTGCAACTTCTTGCTCGCAAAGAAAACATCAGGTGCTCAGATTCTGTGCTGACTTGTACCTTTCATTGTCCTAGAAACTTCAGTCAAATATAAATCAGCAGATTATCTGACACAATTTTTTAATTATTATTAATGTATGTCTACTGTAAGGATCTTGCATTGTTGTTTTATTTCACATTTCTTTCTTTTTTTTCTTTTCCCTCATCATTCTTTTTTTACAAATGGACAATCGGAAATCAGAATACACAGTAAGTTTTTCTTCCTCTTTTTATGCTAAAAATAGAATAATTATGTGAAATACAGTAGTGGAATCCAAACTGTTTTCTTCTTAGTATAACTAATGCATAATGCATTGAATATGGAACTTTAGTTTAGCTATTTGTTTAAGAAAATGAATGTTAAATCTGAAGTGTTTCTGTAGGGATACAATAAATTGTTTACCTTATTTTTTATCACTTCAAAATAATTTGATATATTTTTAGTCACTGACTGTAATGAAGAGAAGCTTCTATAAAACAGGGCAAGGCTTTTAAGGTTCCAGCTATTACATGGAGACATGAGAACAGATTTTATTTTATTTATTGTTTTATTAACTTATAAAATGCTCATCTCTGGTATAGTATCTGGGAAACTGTACAATCTGTAGACAAAATTAAACATAATCTGGGCACAGTGCCCAGAAAAATCAACTATTCCCTCTAGCAGAGCTAAGGCAAAATATAGCACATAAATCATGAGAAAAATTGTTTTAAATGTGCTGGCCCCAATAACATACAGTAAGTTTTCGGCAAGCTTTGGAAGATAAGGAGGAGATGGTGGGGAAGTTCCAGGTGAAGGAACCTTTCAGAAACTCCTGCCTTGATTTTGTTTGAACTTCTGACTGCAGATAAAATGTAATCCACGTGTTTTTCTTAACTCTGCAGTGCTCAAAATCTTTGTGCAGATATTTTTAAAACCAATAAAGCATACAGAAGAGGAAAAAGGTTTTAATGTAATAAATGAGAAAAAATACAGAGATTTAAAGGCTCAGATCTCAAAGTTGGAGACTTAGAGTCAAAACTGTGATGACCAGGTTTGAAAAGGCAAAGTATACCAAATTGTGCTTTTCAGTATCTACTATAGATACTTATTACATATTCTGCTTTGTTTCATGTTTAAAATTCATCTGACTGTCGGAGGAAACCCAAATGTCCCATAACGGACAGTAGTACTGAGGGGACAGATTCTCAGCTGGTTTTGTCAGAAGATACCTTCTATCTATCACAATTTACGTTAATTAAGGGTTTATCCTTTGATAGCAGGTTTAATCCTAGGCTGGGAATATGACATGTGCTATGTTGCATTGATGTCTGTTACTTACACTCTTGTATATTTTTTCTTTAACTGAAAGTCAATTTGAATATTTTAATGTGATTTTTTTTTCTTTAACTGAAAGAGACAAGTGGGAATGATTAAAGGGGTGGTAGCAGACAGAAATATACGTCTGAATTTGAAAAGCAGAACATTATCAAAACCAAACAGCAATACTGTACTTGTAGAATATGGATCAGGAAGTGATCTTTATCTAATCTGATGGGACAACATCTGAAACGCATTTCGTTGAAGGTCTGTAGAAGGTATACAGCTACAGAGATGTTCAAGAGCACCAGCAAAATGATTGCAGGGTTGAAGGGACTTGTAAAGAAAAATTAAATTGTCAAATGTAGAAGGTAGGGAAAGCAGTCGCTAAGTGACAGTATAACTGCCTATGGGAGTTGAGGACTCATTACTCACCATGGTGCAAGGAAACAGAACTAGAAATATTGGGATAAGGAAACTGTACTACAGACAAAAATCTAAAACGCATTTTAATGGAGCTGATAGACCATGAAATTATCTTCAAGGGAAATAAAGAAGGTGCCTTTGCCTCAAACTGTTGAATCTAGAACAAAAATGTTAAATATACCACTGGGAATAATTCCTATCCTTGTCTGGAATATTTCTCTAAATTTTGGTCTTCTATATTCGTTAGAGAATTCTGAAAGAAAGAAGAAACCCACAGACATCTCCCAAAATAAGTAAGACAGATAGCTTGGAAACCCTTTTCTTAAAGACAGTAAATTCCCTCCAAAGGGTCTGTAGGACATCCTAAGAATTAAATTGGACCTTATTTTAAGGAAAACTAGTTCTAAAGGCAGGCCAATAATTCCATAAATAAAGCATAATCTTATTGAGTCAAGTACTTACTGCTGTGTAGTATGATCACACCTTACTTAACCTCATGAGTTCCACTCTAAATAAAGAGCAAGGACATTAAAGGCTCAGCAGGGTTATTGTAGTGTATGTTAGTGATTTGGAAAAGGGTGTGAACAACAGACTGAATCTTGCTGATGGACTTAAGGATTTTCAGGTGTAAAATGTGAAGGCTGTTGAGAAATTGCATTCAAGCACATAACACTAGCTTTCAGAGATTCAGTGCAGAGTAATTTCATCAGTCTGGTTTTCCTGCGAAATATTATGGATTTCATAAATATGACCTTCTTAAGGAGACCTGATATTAGGACGTCTTCTAAGAAAAAAAGCTTGGCAGACATTAAAAATAATTTCCAGAATATTATTCTCTGCAATGGTAGTATAAAAAGCCAAGCATGATTAGATGCACAGAAATGGGAATAGAAAATAGAGTGTCATGATGTCAGTGCTCTATAAATCTGCATCCTGTTATGATGGCGTCTGCCTTGAGGAATGGTATTTGTTACACAGCAAACCCCTAAATTTGACAGCAAACAGCAGGTCTACAACCAAGACTCAGCAACCATATTAATAGCCTGTAAGGCAAATGATGCACTTAACAAAATGAGCTCAACAGAACTATTGCACAAGCAATGCTTTTGTGGTGTGTAATATGTGAAATATTGTCATGTCAGGAGAGCATTTTTAAATCTAGACTCTGCTGTTTGTGGGGAGGCCTTGTTAAAAGTGCAGTACACAGGACTTCCTATCAGGAAGATGAGACATGAGTAATGTACCATGAAATGCTGTATCAAAGTTTGAGCTAATCCTTGCAAGCTTCCTGCTGGCATTGAGAGGGAGGAGGAAGTGGAAAAAATACTTTCAAAGTTGAAGCCAAAGGAAGCCACCCAGACTTGGGGGTACTGTTTAAAGAATAAGATGTTCCTCTGAAGTTCAAAGCCTTGTTTTAGTGGCTGGGGCAATACTTAAGAACCGCATGTGAGAAAGTCAGTTAAACCTCGAACAGGAGTTGCTTTGGTTTTGATCTTGTAATGAAAAACCTGACCAGATATCTTGCTAAAACAAATGTTTAAGTTTTATTTATCAGTTCATTTAATACTGTGATTAGGTTGATGTTAAGCTCATGAATTTGGGATTCTGTATTTGGGAGAGCTGGAGGGGAGCCCTGGAGAAGTAACTCCTGGGGACAGGACACAGGGACTGGTGGGTACCTCCTGTCAATCTACACAAGCTCTTGGGAATGGGGGTTGCTGCTGGCTTTTCGAAAGAGTTTCTTTGCTAGTCACAGGCTGGAGCCTATTTCACATGGAGGATGGAGGAAAGATGCCTTGCAGCTCTCAACAAACTCTTACGTGCCAGCCTATCACAGCATTTGCAAATATGTAACTTTAGTGTAAAATATTTATGCTATTCTTAGATATGGGGACAAGAATGACTGAACTCTCAGGAGGCTTTCTTATTTTTCTTTCTGACGTTGTCTAGCTAGATTAGAAATAATTAACTAGAAAGCAAACCTCCCTCTATTGCAAACCAAATGACAAAGGATTGCATAGAACTAAGTTTGTTTACTTGCATCAGGATATTGTTAGACAATAAGCAGCACAGAGCAGATATCCATTTGGCCTGTTCAAGTGACAGTTGACATTCTGGACAAAAAGAGAGAAGCCTCAAGCAAACAAATAATCAGATCATGAACATACGGTGACTCAACTGTGGTACAAAAAATTCACATGATCAAAGTACACTGAAAATGAGCCTAACAAAGTTTAGCTATCAAGATGGAGTACAGAGAGGTTAGGAAAAATACAAACAGAATTTAAACAAGCTCTTCTGACTCTGAAGGTGCCAATGCAGGTATTTACCAGGGATAATTTCAAATACTTTTGCTGTCTGACCTGAACTGGGTTGGTAGCAAAATTTCAGTTCTAGGCATGGAATTTATAAACAGCTGGATAATTTTTTATGGGTAAACTATGGCCAATTGTTAGTTTCACAGTTATAAGTATATAAAGCCAAATGAAGATTTAAAATGGCACGTTTTACTCCCTGCAATGAGAAACAGCACTCTTTCTACCTGCCAACATCTCAAATTAACTTAGGAATGGGATATAAGTTCAGAATATTTATGAAAACCAGTTATGGAACAGAAAGCAGGAGACAACGATTCCTTTGATGATATGTAACAATGACATTAATTATTCTACAGCAAATGACTGAGGCAACTAAGCTTCATCTTGTATGTGTCAAGGCAACAGAGTGATAGTTGCTAAATGTTCCATTATGGACCTGCTGATTTCTGATTACTTTTGAGAAGAGGCATGTTATGTGCTTCACTTAGCTGCCAGTTTATCCATGAAGTAAATTATCTGGAAGGAATGTTTTTGTAATTGTTATTTTTATAATCAGATGCCTTGAGAAGGGAAGAGAGTTGTTTCAGATAAACACGCCAAGGAATCAGTAGAGTTTTTTTCCTGTGTTCTCTTTATCTGATTACCAGTGCTTGAAATTTGGATGTAACCCATCAGTCTTCAGTACACAAACTTTTCTCCAGCTTGAATACATGAAGAGTCTACAACAAAAATGCAACAGAATCTGTATTGCAGGATTAGAGCCTAATAAACTGTCACTACCAAAATTCCTCCCCTCGTTCCCCCTGGTTTAGAAGACAGGCTAACTGTTGACATGACTCTAGGAAAACACAGATATGGTTCCTTTAGAGATCCTAGCAGAAGGAAGGAGCTCTGTTGCATTTAAAAGAATCAAGCAATACATTTTTAGAAAGCTGCAAACCTGTATTCTCCTTTAATAGCTTAATCCCATTGAAACAAAGTAAATCAAACTGCTTGGGAGAATTCCCTTTATCCACACCTTGCTTATTATAAAGCAATCCCAGCCCCTCTATGGTTCATGGGAGTGTTGTTTTCACTTGTGCACACTGCTTCTTACTTCCCTTCTTCCTCAGTACCCACGTTACTGTTCCCATGCATCAGAGAAGCAGATCCTAAGGGAAGCAAAA